TAGCCACCCCTTGCTCACAGTCACTGTAGCTATATCAAATCTGTCAAAAACTGTCAGTTGAAATATTAGAAATATGAACAAGCATAACTCGGAGGCAATCACTTAAATACTTGCTGGCAAAGAAATGAATACGTATTACTTCCGATCCATGTGTTTTCAAATCCACATCCTTTGAATATCAAAACATCGATGTCTGTCAAAAAATGACGTGCACACACAGTAACGTTACCGTTTATCGGAAGCAGAGCTCCAGCGATTGCATGGCACGCATTTTTTTTCTTTCTAGAAAACACTACAAGTAAGTTAGCCTACCTGATGTTTGAATGCATTCCGTCGACGCTTTCCGAGATGAGGGAGAGAAACAAATCGCGGCCTGCACGATGGATTCAATCAGGATTCAACGCTGCTAATTTCCGCAGCCGCCATTTTGAAATGGAGACCAATCAGGGATGAGTTCCCTAATGAATATTGATGAGTCTTCCCCTACGGGGAAAAAAAATATCGCCGGAGGCGGGAAGAAAACCAGAAGTGTTGCTTTTAATCATAGGACATCGCGAATGCGGTGGCGTATTGTTGTGTTAATGTAGAGATTAGTTATTCTAAAAATGTACACAATACTTTGGACTATATACAGTGAAATTCATTCATAAATAAAATTATTATAGGCCTATATATATATATAATTCAGAATAAAAAAGGTGGAGGAACAAACTATATAGGCTACATATCCTATAACATCCAATAGTGTAAATTGCAGCAGCAACTTCAGGTTGTCCAAGGCATTGTTGTCTATCTGTACTTCCGGGGTTCTTCCCACCGCCTCGCTTTCGATTTCAAAATGGAAGCTGTGTGAAATCAGCCTACCTGTATGCTGAAGTGTAGCCTAATAAGAATATGAATAACTTTGTTCTTCACTTACTGAAATTGAATCGGAATCAGGAAACTGAGTAAAATACTTCATACTGCATGCTAAACAAACATAGCAAACATCATTCAACTTGTGTCGGTTTTGACAGAATTTTCTTTTTATGGCCGAACTTCTGAAATATTTTAAATAATTTTCCATTCCTGACTGATATTTTTTCATAATTTTAGATGAATTAGATGAACTGTTAACTGTCCAATATGACTCTCATGCTGATGTAGCCTAATATTTTGCATAAAAGATTTTTTTTTTTTTAAATGTAGTTTGATCACTATCATCTCAACTGTATAAAAGTTCAAATTATCAAAGATTGATTTAATTTTGTTTAATTGATCAGATTTTGACTCATTCTGATCTGGATGAAACGAACAAGAGGATTTAATGGGGTTTCAGAAACTTGGATCTGTCTGGTACAGTAGGTTCACATCAGAAGCGGATTGATGTTTTTTTCTTGCAGCGAGAACATTCATGAACAAAGTCCGGAGTGTCACGCAGCAGGCCAGACAGCAGGAGCATCGGTTCCCGAAGCAGTGTTCCTGCTGACAACCGTTTACCAGCACAGCCGCTCTGACAAGCCTCTCATCTTCCCATTTCATCTTCACCCCCTGCATCATTTAGTCCCTGGAGAGTGTGCATACTTAATGTGCGATGACACACGGGTTACTCACCGCCCGCAAAACACAGTCAGAGATATTCACATGTCTACAATCCCATATGCCCACACACAAATTCCTCATTGAGAAGCTAACATGTATTTTGAAGATGAATTTGGTATGATAATAACCAGGGCGTTTGATCAAATTCACAGGGAGAAACTCACCTCAGTCGGAGGAAACAAATGTAACAGAAACACATTCTCCCAAAAGGTGATGTGAGAACGCCAAAAGAGGGCCAAACTAATAAAGAAAACTAAATGGGGATCGACAAGAGAAACATTACATTACCATACCGCAGAGAGGAAACGATTTAAGAGTTCTGGCCATCTCAGATTCAGAGCCTACAGAGGCTTTTAAAGTCACCATGAAATCAAAATGAAGGAATCTTATTTTTTTTTAATGGAATATTTCAGTGTTTATTATAAAAGATTCATCCATGCATTGCGCTTTTTTTATGTCATGTTCCCTTGTAATCTTTAATCAAAATAACTTCAAGACATCTCTGATGAAGTATTTACTGGCACGAGGGCGGGACATTCTGTCACTCCTGTGATGAGCGCTGTGTTTTATCCAAAGTTTAAAATTTTTCAACTCTCGGCGACCATAAAAAAACGCCGAGTGCTTGGCGCTTCTGCTTCAGCATGAAAAAAAAAAAAAAACACTCAGTGCCTCATTACGCTCATGGAGTTTAAAAAACGTGGCGCTCCCATTGAAAACAATTGAAAACATACACCAGGCGTGTGGAAAAACGCTTTGGTTGACATACGGCCTAAGGGTTAATGTACATTCAGGCGGTTGTTATCTCAGAATAAACCCCGACAGGGTGATGAGGACCCCGACGTGAAGCGGAAGCTACTTGTCACTAAGTAAATAATTAGAAACAAAATATTGACTGAAAAATTGTATTAGGTCTTTAAATGCAAAGCTACCCTGAGAGAGTAGTTGCTAGCGCGGCAAGTCCAAACTAGACAAATATTTGAGGGATATGGGATATGGATGAGCCTGTGCTATCAGTTTTCAGCGGTTGTTATTTAGGCAATAGCGCTGGATGGTACGATGAACCAATCAGAATCAAGTATTCCACAAAGCCGTGTAATAAACAGTTATCAGACAAATTGAATGCGCCCACTGTGCAGTTATGAAACCACATGCATGATAAATTATTTTAAAGTGCATAAATGAAAAATGATTGTCTGGGCACAGTTTTAATTAACCTATCCAGATAATAACATTAATAATGAATAACAATAATGTACTCAGACATAACGACGACATAAATATTATATTACACCTAAAATTATTTTTTCAGATCTGGACACGGGGAAGGGAAAGAAGAGAGCTAAGTTTATTACATTGAATTCTGTGGAGAAATGTCTTTGTCCATCAATATTGCAGAGCAGAGTAAATGTCGGGGGGTTTGGGGGGCTGGGTGTCCCCACTAAGGGCTTTAACATATAATTCGAACACTGTATAAGACAGGCAGAGCGAAGGGAGAAAGCGCCTGTAGTGCTGTATCATTTGTCCTTTGCCGTGTCACAGAAGAGAACAATGCCTTCCATTCAGATTCCTCCCCAGGCGAGAGAGACATAATGAAAGATAGACTAGATTGTCATTTCCTGTGTTTGCTGTGCTCCTGTAAACACTGGGCGCTGGCACACAGCTGCGCCCCTGATCTATGCCATGATCTCCCGTATACCTCAGGCCTCGCACTGCTCAGATGAACTGTCATTATCATTGGACTTGGCCGTGTGAAGAGTGAGTCGTTTTTGCACAATGACAGAGAAAGAGAAAAAAAAAATGCTAAACCAATATACAATTACACTTAACATTAGTGTTCATGTTACCATGCAAGTAATTATGTGATTAATGAGAAATACTAATGAACATAATGTACTTATTATGCTATTAGTTTGTGGAGCAGCTTGCGATTACACATTGCTTTTGTAATTTATTTGATTCATTGTCCAATTTGTGGAACATGAACATTGTAATGTGGTGTTAACAAAAAACAAAAGCTCAAACCCTGCACATGACAGGAAAATAAGGTCTGCGGTTAATCATAATTGAAGAGACTCGATTTGTAAACATACAGTAAAGGTATATGCGACATATGCAAAATAGTCATTAAAGTTTTACTCATCTAAGATATTCTGAAAACTTAATTAGGATTTCCCGAGTGAACCCATGGCAAATTAGCTTTTTGTGTCAGCCTTCAAACTGATGTCTGAACAGCTTTATCATGCATTGTGACATCATTTCCTCAAATGGGTGAACAGCAAATCTCTATTTCCCATCCCTTATCACTTTTGTCTAGACCAGTTTTACTTTATGCAGTGGCTAATTTCACTTCAACTGTCTCATGTCGTTGATTTCAACTTGATAAAACACATTTTCTGTCTTCATGTAGTCGTCCAGTTGTTTTATTTATTCATAGTCTATATACCTTTTTGGCTATCATGGCTTATTTATGAAACCATTACGATGTCTTTATGTACATCCTCGGAATGTTCCAGATGTAAAAAAATCCAGCAAAATCAGCATGTTTGTATTAAAGACAGGGGCTTGAAAAACTTTTTCGCTCACCAGCCACTGTGGCTAGTGGTTTTCCAAAGTTACTAGCCACTCAGCATTTTCACTGGCCACAATTTGGACACTGATACCACAGGGGAATAACTACCATATAGATATTTTTAATATCATCTCATAATTTGGCAGCCGGTATATTAGGCTACTGTCACTTTAAAGGAGAACTAGGGTCAATTTTAACATTGAGCTCATTTTTTTTGTACATTTGGAGTGCCGTCAGTAAGACAAAAACGACAAAAATCGGTGTTTCCTACACCGTGTTATCATCTTTTTAAAAGTCGCACCATGTTGACTTCAATGGGGCAAGTTCTAAACCTGCTTTTAGCCTCTTAACATCCTTGATTTGTCATTACAAGTGCACAGCCATGTGATTGGTGTCATTAAAAGTGACCACGGTCAATCTGACTGCAGTAGATGTGAAAGATATGAATAAAAATTATGTTAATTCAGCCAGCTCACATACCTGTATTTAGCTCACAGTAGTCGATTGTCGATCTCACGTGCAGTCAGATTGACCGTTTCACCCGCAAATTCACCCGCATTTGGCGATGTCAAGCCCTGATTGGATGGATGGAAAGACGGACAGGTAGGTTGACAGATCTTTCACAGATATATCAGTTAGACAAACAGACAATTTATGGATGGAATTCAGAGTGAGACATTTTAATTCAACAGTTTGAGTACGCTAATCATTTGACCTGTCCGATGCACATTAAAAATGAACAATAAAATGAGTTGTTGATTCTTTTGCAGTCTCACCCTTGTATGAGTCAGATCCGCCCCCGAGTTTTTCTTTAAATCAAGAAATCCCCATTAAAAACAACAACTCGACATCATATTAAAAGATTGTTTTATTCACAATTGAAGTGTAACAAATATAGTTTATCAAAAACCTTTGCTTTCATATAATTTATTACATGATAAGATCGTAAGATTTATATAAATGATGGCTGGCAGTTTGCCAGAATGCAATATGTACATTTAAAAAAAACTAAAAACAAATTAACGAATAAGAAATAAAACCAAACAATTCCCCACAAAATTAATTGCATATATATTAAAGAAAAACATAACAAAAACCAATCAGATTATGTGCAATGGAATGATTATCAGCAATATAGTACAGTTACATGTCTGAGGTTGTCTCATGAAGAAATAACAAACGACAAGAATCACAAACGAAAAAAAGGCATTTTCTATGCAAGATCATCAACACAATATTTAAACGACAAATTTTTTATCTGAAAAGCACATCTCCTATTCCTGTTCCAGACTGTCACCTAAGATTCTCTGGATTCTCAGTCACAGCTTCACTAAAGAGACAGCACGAAGCGCTAGTCCGCGCTAAGCCGCGGCAGTGCTAAACATCGTTTAGATTCGCGGCATCATGAATACAGTGAACGCGATGTCTTATCTACAGTGTCACAGTGTTTCATGACGGGCCTCCCTTGCTTTCGTATATTACTCGCCAGCGCACATATAGCAGAGAAACACCAAGAGTTGCAGTCGCTGGTCTGGTCTTTTTTCCCATGTAGATCCGCCAGTATAATACATTGGATAAAGCACCACACCATACTAGTTAAGCAGAGTGGGTCAGGGTTTTTTTTCTTCTTATTTTTGGAAACACTGCCTAAATGTAGACACTAGGAACAAACATGTCAAGCACCTCCTGCGATTCAAACCTCAAGTTTGAGGTGTCGATTTATTTCCAAAAAAAACCATTAATAAGGTGGGAATTGGGTCGTTCCTCCTAGAATTGGAATGTGGCTGTGTAATGTGTAATAGATGTAGTGTATATGCAAGCCAATGATATTTTTCTTATTAGTTTCCTGTGTATGTGTGTGTGTTGTCTCCAGTGCCACGGACTGCTTTGCATCATTCACCATCGAAAATCTTCTCTCATGCCGTCACATTGTACAGTAATATTCCTATTCTTTTCTACATGGAGAACCCGAACATACTGATTCACAACGTTGTGCTTTCATGTTAAATCAAAAGACGCAAACAGATAAAATGATAAAATCACAACAACTAGGCCAAAGTATGTTCAATTCACATTTGGTGGTACATTCAAACAAATATTCATTCCCCTTTTTGACCGACGCTGCCCATGTCCTAATAAAACACTTTCCCAATGGATATAAGCAGCTTCATCACGGTTTACTACAGAGCCCCTAAAGGGAAATGGGATGAAATTTCCAATTTAATTCTTCAGATCTCCTGCAAAATTTTTGCATTTGCACTTTCTTAAAAAACGTGTTTGCTTACAAAACCTTTCGTTCCGCCAAGAAACTGTTCATTTACAAAACTTTCATTATGGGATGGGAGGAAAAACTATATTTCAATGTTTCTCTGGGAAACGCAATATTTTGCAAGCAAACGCAAAGTTTCTTGGAGGAATGCAATCATTTTGCGAGAGAACGCAAAGGCATTGACTTTTCCATCACCGTGTCCCATCAGGGGCTCCATAGTTTTCTGTCCTTCACAATTCACAAAAAAGACAAAAACCCTAAGTCTTGATTAATAAATTAACACAAAGTACTTTATTTTACATGTCTAGGATAAAAAAAGTCTCTGCCTCCATTGATTAAGTAAACAATTAAAACACATTTTGAACACATTTTATGCAACAAAGTAAGCTCACGAATGTAGCGGAATGAATGATAAACGACTGTCCATCACAAGCTTAAGAAGGCTGAAGCTCTTGGTCAGAGGGAAAATAAATAGAGCGTTGCTATTAAAACATGACTAAATCGATCAGTAAGACTAAAAGGCACTAGTTGACTTGCTTTCCCTACCTTGCTGTAGTATAAAGCGTCAAAATACCGAACCAAACATCACCCGAAAGAAACGGACAGCAAGAGACAGCGAAGTTTGGTGGATATGTCATATCTTCGCTTCTGTAAACACAGATTATGCCAAAAAAAAAAAAAAAAAAAAAAAAAAAAGGGATGTCGATACACCGAGTTACCTATGGCTTTATAAAGTGTGTAAGAGGGCAAACACAATGGAAAATGGTCTGGTCTCCTCACAGAGGAAATATGGTCCTTCTTGGTCTCTGAGGCTCAGAGACATGTCCAGAGTGTCAGAGAGAGAGAGAGAGAGAGGGCAGGGGCAGCATGCAGAATCCCGAGAAAGAAAAAGACAGCAGAGGAGAGAGGACTGTGGAGAAACACAGAAGTTTTGAAGTTCTCTCCAGAAGTTCTGAAGTTCTCTCCAGTCTTATACACCCATTACTATTGTCCACTGTTAAAGAAGGTCCAGGAAGTTACGTTTCATTGGTTCTTTGGGGTGGGATGAAGATTACTTGAGATGGTTGGCTAACTCTGGGCTTGGTTTCTTAATGACGGGAAGAGGATGAGCCTCCGTGTTGAACACCCACTGATCGAAGGGCAAATGGTCATCGTCTGAGAACAGCAAATACAAATACCTGAAAAAACAAACAAAAAAAGACAATCTTTTAAACAGCACTTTATGTTGTTGATATAGTAATTCACAATAAGATTGCCAGTGAGAGATTTGTGGTATTCGGGAAAAAAATATTATGTACATCAATTAGAAGCATAAACATCAAGGTTATGAGAGGGAAATAATGTATTGATATAATTGCCATATATATATTCTCTCTCTCTCTCTCGCTCTATATATATATATATATATATAAAGACACAGTTTTCTGTTTTTCTTTTTTTCAGTATTATGTAAAATTTGTGACAAGATGGAAATCTAATGTAATGCCATAAACTCATAAATATTTTATTTCGGACCATGCAAAAAAGTAATAGCACATCTTCTGATCAACAAACAGAGAAATAAATCATGCATATTGCACAAGGTGGGTGGGAATGGCCAAATGGTAAAGTTTAATACTTGTGCGCAATAAAAATGAAAACATCACTAATTTTTTCCATTAAAGTCAACGTGCATAAATAAATCTACCTCTTAAAATCTGAATGTTCCCTTCGTAAACAAAACATGAACACCTCCCAACTAAGTGCTGATGAATTAAAGTAAAACACTGCCAAGACTGAAGCACTGTAATATGGGATGGAGATTACAAACTACAAAATGTCTGAACATTTTACTTCCTTTGGCTGAGAATCATGGGTAAAGGACACTGTTTCACAAATGAAGGTTATAATTCAAAATCGGCAGCCAAGGAAAAAAAAAAAAAAAAAAAAAATCCACAGGTTTATTTGGAGGGTTGGATGACACTTGTTAAATTACAGTCTATAAACTTTAGCTGGAGACTACGATGCTGTTTCCTGATGAAGTTGTGACCTTGATAATACGGTTTCTAACCCTTCCACCCTCTCGGTTCCCTCTCTGAACAGGCATTGGCTGGAGATTAGACGATGAAAGGCTCTCTTCTCAACTGCCCCTCTGAAAATATAAGCGGTTGACCTCAGGCCTCCACAGTTAAAGCTAAATCACACATGTCCACTGGATGAACCACGCCTGGCAGCTTAAACTGAACCTGACCTCCTTTTGCAGCCAGCATGATCTTCAGACCTTCAGTTTCATTGCCCTGCTACTGGCTAGAAAAAAATTGGAAGGTTACAGTCAATATAAACGAGACTAAGAGGACTTATTTAATGACAGAGGTGACAACTATGGACGCTTTCGCCACAGAATTAAAAATAAAAAAGGTAATTGCAACTTTTTATCTCACGATTCTGACTTTATTTCTCAGAATTGCGAGATATAAAGTCAGAATTGCGTGATATAAAGTCAGAATTGTGAGATATAAAGTCAAAATTCCGTGATATAAAGTCACAATTGCGTGTTATAAAGTCAGAATTGCGAGATATAAAGTCAGAATTGCGAGATATAGTCGAAATTGCATGTTGTAAAGTCAATTGCGTGATATAAAATCGCAATTGCGTGTTATAAAGTTAGAATTACGAGATATAAAGTCAGAATTGATTAATATAGTCGCAATTGCTTGTTATAAAGTCAGAATTGTGAGATATTAACTATTCTGAGGGGAAAAAAGTGAAGTCTTTCAGTCTTTCTCGCAATTGCGAGTTTATATCTCACAATTCTGAGAAAAGATGTCAGAATTTCGAGAAATAGATGTGTTATAAAGTCAGTATTGCGAGATGTAAACTCGCAATTGTGAGAAAAAAAGTCAGAATCGTGAGATAAAAAGTCTCATTTCGATCTTTTTTTTCTCACAATTGTGACTTTATTTCTCAGAATTGCGCCTTAATATCACGCAATTGTGACCTTATTTCTCACAATTCTGACTTCATATCTCTCAATTGTGAGATAAAAAGTCGCAATTAGTATTATTATTTTTCATTCAGTGGCGGAAACAAGCTTCCATAAATTCTTCAAAATGGAAGCATTTGTTATTCATCTGTGCACATCATTTTTATGTGCCCTCATAATCTTTAATCAAAATAACTTCCCCTCTTGCAGCGACATCTCTTCTCCTCTCTGATGAAGTATTTACTGGAGTGAGAGTGGGACAACGTGTCACATGACATCACAGCAATAGCAAACCATCCAATCAATTCCTGACGTACAAATTCAAGTCACGCCATTCGCCTTGTTAAACTAAAACTTCCGTTTCATGCACACTTTAGTTGAGTGCAGGCGTCTCCTTGTTTTACTATAGTGATTTTAAGTAAAGCCTCAAAATACTAGTAAAGCAGCAAAAATAAAAACCCTGGGCAAACCAAATCATGAAGCTAAATGGAGGTTTACATATAGTGATGGGAAGTCCGGTTCTTTTCCGCGAACCGGTTCTTTCGGACAGTTCGTTTTAATGAACCGGTTCAAAAAACCGGTTCACCAGTTCTTTTACGTCATCACGTAATGACGTCAATTCTATCGTCCCGGCGGATAAAAATACTTCAAATTAAAGGCATTTGTAATCACAACTTCAGTTAAATAATAGTATGCATTGTCATAATCATCTTGGATAAGTTTCTTACATTTACATTTTGAAAACGAACCCTGCTGCAGCCTAGTCGATGTGCTAACGCGGATGTTTTACATGTTTTAAATATATAAAATGCATAAATGGTCTTCATCATTTTATTTGTTATTAAATAAACTTACATTTCGCCGATTCGCCCTCTCATTTAAGTCCTGGGTTCACCCGTACTACTGCGTGCTCGTATATCAGCACAGGATCAGCCGGCCGAAAGAAAGTTCTGTTCAGAGACGGTGCTATCACGCATGCGCAGTATCTCCAGCTCATCGGTTCTCCGTATCGAACGTGTCCGAAAGAAACAGTTCTCGGTTCTGCACTAGTGATTCAAGAGCTGCAACAACCAGTTCTCGACTCGAGAACCATAGCATAGGCCTGTGCTGAGCTGAAACCTGAATATACAGTCGACAAAACTAAAAAATCGATGCATGTCTGTCTCCAATATAGCCTTCTGTGTATGTGATATGATAGGCACATCATGTTTATAATGTGTTAACATAACGAATTAAACATATATGTTTAATTCGTTATGTTAACACATAATTTACTAAGCAGTGCACCAAACCTTGGCAAGAGTTTACATCAAAGATTTATAATATTGTTACTTAGAAATTAAATGAGCTGTTCCTGAAAATATTATTTTAGTATAATAATAAATGTTTAGTAGTTTGACAGTTTTAGAATCCAATCATTATTTCCAATCGTTAAAATAATACAGTGATACAGTAATGGGATAAACATGTTTCCAAAATGTTTTATTTTGTTACACTTACTGATGTTCAACTAAAGACATGGAAACGTACATTTCGTCCCTCAGAAAAAAAATGCACGCATGCTCAGCTCATCAACTCATCAGTTCTCAGTATGTCGAACGTGTCCGAAAGAAACAGTTCTTCTCGGTTCTGTACTGGTTGTCCGACCGCTGTATCTGTACGTTCGGTAGTACACGCATGCGCAGTATCAGCTGCTCGTGCTCATCACTTCTCTCAGCACCAACATATGTCTCCGTTCAGTGAACTTTTTGAGTTACTGGAATAAAATGTACTTCTGGATATTGGTTTATTTCGATTCGGAGGGACTGTCAGGCATGTCTGAAAGTGAGTAACTTTAGTAACTTGTGGTTTAGCGCTGACGCAAGACGCGAACTGTTTCGAACGATTCAGTCCGATTTAGTGTACTGGTTCGACCGGTTCACTAAAAAGAACCGGTTCAAAAGAACGATTCGTTCACGAACCGGCCATCACTATTTACATATTCTTTGAGAACGATAACGACGGTAGGAATGTAGTTGTTGAAATTACTCCTTAAAAATATCTTCTTTCCAGCTGATAAATGATAAAAACATTGATAGCCATTTAGAATCCATCCTGCTTGAATGGATGTGAGCATTTAAAGCGGAAGATGATGTAAATGCTATTGTGCGTTGGTTTGGACGCTATATCGTTCTTGGTGTGAATCCTTAAATCATAAAGGTTTGGATTGACATGAGGATGAGTAAATGAAGGAATTTTCATTTTTTAGCGTGAACTCTCCCTTTAGTGGTTCAGCATGTGAAGCGGAGCAGATGAAGTGGCCCGAAGTGAGCATGTTAAAGAGCACAGTCATGCCCACAAACACATTGAGAGCATTTCTATGAACAGGAAACTCTGATCTTTCAGCCCGCCAGACAGTCTGGCTCTGAAGAAGATTCATTACTTAATACGCACTAACTGTGCAAAAGAGGGAAACAGCCAAAAGCAACAGAACGAGAAACAACTAGAATAAGAGAGAAGGAAAAGCTGAAAGCGCTCACTCTCTCTCTCTCTCTCAAAGAATTGCTAAGTCTTTTCTGTGTTCAATTGTGTGAATTGTGCTCCTCCTGGCCAAAGGGCAAGCACTCCTCCAGAGTATTAAAGGCAGGAGAAATGGAGAGCCACTGTCTTCAGCGGCAGGGTGAGACTCGAACAGTGATTTCCTCTTAAACCGCAATCAAACTGGAAGAGAACTGGGAAAAGCTACTCAAAAAACAGGATACAGAAGTGCATTGTAACCTCATCAGCTCTTCATTCTGGGCCCTGATGGAGTAAAATACTCGTTCTTTATTCATTCCTTTCATTTGTCAGTGTCTTTAAAGATGAATGTTGTGTGCGATAAGGAACCCTGTGAATGAGTTCCAACTGTCACCGTCTTGTGTCTGTCACTTCACCTTGACGGTGATAATTCTCGCTCTGACAGAAAAATGGCTCCATTGACTACATTTTGAGTGAACATCTTTCCTTTAGTCAATCATTGCAGAAATACAAGTTAGTCTTATGCTACGTTCACACCGGACGCGAATCGCGCGTCAAATTCGCGCCTGACGCGTCTAGTTTGACGCTTGACCACTAGTGTTAATTCGCGTGTCAAGAGCGAAACTGGCGCGTGTAAAGTTTGAAGCGAAATTTACGCGCGTGACGCGCGTCAGAATCAAAATCCGTTGGCGGCCATTGTTTTTATGTCGACCGAGCATTCATCAAGAGATTTACCGCTCTGTATTTACTCTGGAGAGTAGAACAGCGGCGTGGGGATCATCGTCGCCGTATATTTGTGTTCACCGGACCCTTCAGAGCCGAACCGTTTGGCGAGTTTCACCATTTGCTCGCTCCAGGAGCTGCGCTGGATGACGGCCGCTGTCAGCGGTACTTCCGCCTGTCACGCGCCCAGTTTGATGACCTGTTGTCCCGCATCTGAGCGAGGATCACCCTCGCCCTCATCCATCTAATCTAGCTGTCATTTATTTTTGTTTTAAAAATAAATAGAGCCAGCCTTCAAAAGTTATTAACCTGTCCTGTGATTTTTTTCTCTCTCTCACGTCCAGACACGAATTTATGCACATATGTTGATTGTCTTTACAACATAATACTATTTCTAGATATGGAATGAATAACATTCAATACAAAATGAACATGTCTCCTATATAGAAATAATGTTTTAAGAGATGAAACATTTGCTTTGTTGTGCAAAATCCCACCATGCATTTAGTCATATTACCAAAATAATTTATTGAAGCATCCAGACACTTCACCACGTGAGCAAGCAGCTAGGCTCCTGATTGGTTAACGCGGCGCGAATTCACGCCAAAGTTCAGATTTTTCAACTCGGGCGGCAGACGCGAATTCGCGTCAAACGCGTGAATGCACAACGCTCAATTCGCGCCATTCGCGCCAACTTGACGCGCGAATGAGGCGTATTCGCGTCTTCCGCGCCGCGCTCCACGCCTCATTCGCGCCGCAGGAATTTTTCACGCGCGTAAAGCGTCTTTGCATTGACTTAACATTGAAATCATTCGCGCCTGACGCCCTATTCGCGTCCGGTGTGAACGTAGCATTAGGCTATTGCCCTATATGGATAATTCACAGAACATTTAATATTTACTGCACAACAAAGTGGCAAGAGGTTTCTGAAAGCTAATTGGCTGGCTGTTCTGATTTCAACGACTCAACCTCAGTGCTCTAATATACAAATATGTGTTTACAAACATACTGTATTATACATTCCTCAAAAAAGACAAATACAACCTTTTTTCATAGGGAAAACCAAATAGTGGCCAGAGGAGCTGTGCATTGCGATGCACTATGGAGATTGTTGTCTATAATCCACAAGCACTAAAAAGTCATTTTCCCAAATTAGGCCCAAATTAGAAATTTATGATACTATTTTACTACATAATATGACTCACTTTAAATACATATTCATGTCTCCACCGGTGGAATTACCCTTTAAGCAAGCTGTACTCACTTGAGTGTTTCAGCCAAGTAGAAGCTCTGCTGCACGTCATCATGGTTAGGTGTGCTGGCGTAGACGTCTCTTACTCCGCTGTAACCCCCTTCCAACCTGCAGTACTTCTCCAGAGCCTGAGACACAGAGATATAAATGCACCTGTCAGTATCAATGTAATTCCAACTGCATGTACCTTTGATTTTCAGAGAAACTTCCACTTTTCTGTAGAGTTTAGCTCGGACCCTGAACCCTCAAACTCACCCCGCTTTATAATATGCTGGTCTCTAGATATATATCTGGAGCTGCTCCTTCAGTGTAAGTTTATGGGAGATTCAGCCTGTTTTATTGACAGTCAGGCATAAATAGTAGTTCCAATCACTCAGAAAAGTAATAGTGTAGCTTAGTTTACCTCAAGGAGCCACATGATTTACAACAGAAAAAAAAATGTGCGGAACAATTTATGTGGTAAAGTTTAATACTCAGGATTTAGGTGTTTGATGCATTCAATTGACCAAAAGTGACAGTAAAGACTTCACAAATCATCATGTCTATGGTAAGTACCCATAAAACGTGCATGTTTTTAAATTTGTGAATAAAGTTTAAAACCATTGAATCTAATTAAAAATTAAGTGGCTTTAAGTACTATATACTTACATTGAAATTAATAATTTGATACAATGGACTTATTGTGTACATAAATGTTTTTACATTGTACTTACATTTGAAAAATACCAGCATGTAATTACAGCAATAATTACTTTATGTAATTACATTTGTATTTCCCCTCACACCTTAACCTACTCTTAAACCAACCCATACCACCACACATGTCCCTAACCTTACCCGTATCACACCTCAATAGCAGCAAAAGTGTTTTACAATACAACAGGAACACAATAATACTTTGTACTTATTGTTCAATGTAAGTACATAGTACGTAAAGCCACTTAATATAAAGTGGGACCGAAGAATCTATTTTTATTTTGTGAAAAGTGCCATAATAACAATGAAATTATTGGCGTTGTCACTTGTGGCGGTGTAAAGATTGTATAAAAGAACGTTATAAGTTAATGAAGATTTTACAAAGCAGTTTTTGAAGGGAAGCAAGAATCAAGACTTTCATTCCATAAGAGTTGAGCCGGCACATTTTTACTGTGAGGAGAATAGATGGCAGAGGGAGAGCGAGGGAGGGAAGAGATGTGATGTATCGCCTAAAGGGACAGACAAATCGCAATGGCAATCTGAAGTCATTATGATACAATTACAAGGCTGTGAGATCCTGGCGGTCTCCATTGTCTCTAAGTGCAGGAGCGCAGGGAGCGTCTGAGGGCAGTGATAGAGCCTCACTGTGACTCACAGTCTGGCCTACATCCCAGTTTAACCAGTCACGTACTGGTGACGTTACATAATAAGTGATGATGTGTCAAATCCACATGACAGAATTCTCACCTGTACCGCCTCCCAGCCCCACTGCCTGTACTTGGGGTCGTGGGTGAACCGCCACATGTACATGTACGTTTCGATGACCTCCGGCCTCAGGATGAAGTACTTCTCATTTTGCCGTGTGGCGATGGCCTCCACGCCGCCGTCGAAACGGAACGCCTCGGGACCCAGCTTCATACCTGAAACATGCATGCCGACAAATTCATCGCTCAAACGTCCATGTAGACAAGGGATTATGGGATTACACTGTTCCTGAGATGAAGAGAAACACTATCAGGATGTGGATTAGGGGCTGTGGCATAATCTGGACCTTTGTTAATCTGCGTCAGATAAAAATACCTACGCATTATGAACACGTAGGTGAAGACTGTGACTGTGTATGTTTACGTTTACCTAGGGTCAACCTAGGGTCTTTTGCACCATGACCTCGAGCCAAACACCCACCCAGAAGCCTTTTTTCCCCCTTGGTCAAGCATTATTAAAGTTAGAGCTTATTTGGAGATATAATCTTGTATCTCGAGCTTGTATCTCGTAAATTACTCCACTAATAATGCCCGGAATGGTACAAAACTTCTACAGTAGTACAAATAGGTTCTGTACTCATACAACGAGGCATTGGAAAGTTTGTAAGTACATCGGGATTTTATTTAAATAACACTTGCCTGATGGCTTGTGCAACCGCTGACTCGGACGTCGGGGTCACTTCCGTGATTTGGGAAAAGCTCATTACCGTAATTTCCATTTTACCGTTGAGTACTTTTGATTTATTTACTGTTATACAGTATTTTGAATAAATAATAATAATAATAATAATAATAATAATATTAATAAAAAGATTATATAACAAAAATATAAAATATTATATAACACAAATATTCACAATACATCGGGAGTTTATTTATACAACACTTGCCTGATGGCTTGTGCCACCGCTGACTCAGACGTTGAGGTCACTTCCGTGATTTGGGAAAAGCTCATTCCCGTAATTTCCGTTTTACTGTTGAGTACTTTTGATTTATTTACTGTTATATAGTATTTTGAATACATAATAATAAAAAGATTATATAACAAAAATATAAAAATATTATACAACACAAGTATTCACAATACATCGGGAGTTTATTTATATAACACTTGCCTGATGGCTTGTGCAACCGGTAACTCGGACGTCGAGGTCACTTCCGTGATTTGGGAAAAGCTCATTACCGTAATTTCCATTTTACCGCTGAGTACTTTTGATTTATTTACTGTTATACAGTATTTTGAATAAATAATAATAATAATAATAATAATAAAAAGATTATATAACAAAAATATAAAAATATTATATAACACAAATATTCACAATACATCGGGAGTTTATTTATACAACACTTGCCTGATGGCTTGTGCCACCGCTGACTCAGACGTCGAGGTCACTTCCGTGATTTGGGAAAAGCTCATTCCCGTAATTTCCATTTTACTGTTGAGTACTTTTGATTTATTTACTGTTATATAGTATTTTGAATACATAATAATAAAAAGATTATATAACAAAAATATAAAAAATATTATATAACACAAATATTCACAATACATCGGGAGTTTATTTATATAACACTTGCCTGATGGCTTGTGCAACCGGTAACTCGGACGTCGAGGTCACTTTCGTGATTTGGGAAAAGCTCATTACCGTAATTTCCATTTTCCATAGTACTTTTGATTTATTTACTGTTATACAGTAATTTGAATAAATAATAATAATAAAAAATTAAGATTATATAACAAAAATACCTAACTACAACAAAAAATACAACAATTCATTCACAATACAATAACGAGAATTAGAATTCTTTTTTGCAATCATAATTTTCAAATCAAAATGTCTGTATAATCAAGGATATTTTGGGGTGTTTTTTGCTGGAAAGGTTTAATATGTGTTCTTTCAGCATTATCAAAGCAGTTGCGTCACTCACTTGTTCGGGCGTAAGACTCATGACACGTGCGGGCGATCTCAGCCGCGAGCTCCATCTGGTGCCCCGTCTTATCATCCGGGGCTCCGTCTGCTCCTAAAGCAATCATACCACCGGCGAAGCAGGTCAGGTGACCCATCTTATGCTCCAGGAGTCCGCCTTTCCATTCTGCGATATACGTCAACCCTCCGCTTGACTTCCGGATCAAATTCTTTTCAATTGCCTGAATACAGAACAGAAAATGAAAAGTTGTTTTCAATGCCAATTTCTTCACTCAATGGGTCAACCTGAACTTTGTCCTCTTTTGTATTAGGCCAACAAAACAAAAGCAAACAAGGGCATTCAAGGCTTCAGTGTGATTTCTCTCAAAAGCGCTCTAAGGACAGTTCAAGGCCCAGCGTAAGGAAGATCATAGCAGAAATCAGGGTCACAGCTGTGTGCCAGCGATGTGTATTTAAAGAAACGTCACACACATGGGAAATGAGATTCTTATCCATCTGGAAAAGGACTCTGATGCATTTGAATGGAAAACTGGAGACTTCATCATCATGTTACCAAAGGCACACAAAGAAATAAGTAAAGCATCTGACTCTCTCTTTTTCTTACATCACACCCTTTGGAATATTATTTCATCATAAATATGGCATCAGTATTGCGGAGAAACTGAAAGATAGTAATAGTACTAGCTTACCTTTTTTTAGTATGTTGATGTTGAATAATGTATAATGTATTTTTTTTTGTCTAAGTGAATTAAAGAGTAAGATGAGTAATGAGTCAAACATATTTTCTGCAGCATGAGAATGCTGGATTCAAGTGTTCATTTGGATCTTGCATCACCCTAAAGGACATATACTGTGATAATGAATGGCAGTTTATTATCCTGCAAAAGACATTAAAAATTGCATTTTCAGTTGAATTTGGGGAAACCACTTTTTCAAAATTTGTTGCGTTGAGATTTTTCAATTTGTTCAGTAATTTGTTTGATTTGTTCATTGTAATCAGCTGAAAGTCTGTAAATTTTGCCAATAAACCTGATTTGCAATTGGAGTTGAATAATTTCGATTACAACCGTATTCGTAGCTTAGAAGACTTCAGCATTTTCATTGCTTGAACAGGAACTCGATCTACCGCGATACATCAACAGTCATTGCCGTAATGTGCTTATTTTTCCCAATGGTGCAAATAACTGAATGCTACAGCTGAGAGGTGTGGATGAAAGGAGATGATTGAGTGCCCTATCCATGGTTAGTGAGATAAATTAGCTGAAATCAGGCTGTATAGAGAGAGTTAAAGACCAGGAAAAAGAGCTTTATATAGTGGTAATGAATGCCTGGGTAAAATGGTGGACACAATGGCAATTTTATAAAGCCCTCTCTGAAGGTGACCGAAATAGTGCACTTTTCTTTTCTTGGATGATTGGCCTGGAGTCCAAAGTGTGTGTGTGTGTGTGTGTGTGTGTTTGAGTCACTCCAGGGAGCCACCCAGACAGACGGCCAGAGGGACAACATTATCTTAGGCAGGTTGAGATGGTTCTCTCTCTAATGAAAGTGAGGATTGAGTTTGTGGTCTGTAACAATCAGTGTGCACCAGCTTTCCAAAGCTCTCACGGACAGCTTCAGCAGAACGCTGGTGGCAGCTTACACACACACACACACATGCACGCACTGAATTCCAACACCTGAAAACCTGCAGAGCACACATTTCTAGATGTTCAAGCTAAAGGCAATAAAACACAAACATTAGCAATGCAGATTCTTTCCTGGAAAAACGACATGGAAACTTAAGGGGAAATGTTCAACAATACAGAACTAGCACTAAATAAACTTTTGTCCGACTAGATATTCAATTTAATTTGTTAATGACAATTGAGCCTTAAGAATAGAAATTTAGTTTTATTTTAGTTTTTAGTTTTTTTTTTTATTGAAGTGTATCTGGATCGCTCTACAAAAAAAAAAAAAAAAAAAAAAAAAAACGAGACTTGAGAATTGAATTGGAATTGAACAAGCGAATGCAGAATTGAATTTAAGGACATACAGTATAAATAAAATTAAAGCCCTGAAGTTTTAAATAATAATTTTACATTTTTTTGAGTATGAATTTCATATAAACAGAAATATTAAAATATTCGAAATATTTCCATTATATGCAATAAATTAGCATTCATTTTATGGACCACAGTGGGAGAACATTTCATTTCATAGGATGCACTACCCATTTAAAATAGAGCAAACCTTCAAAATACATCCAGGAGATTTATTTATTTTCAATAAACAAAAAATAATAATGTGTGAAATTTCAACTGATAGTGTCAATTGTTTTGACAGTTTTGGACTCACGTTAAAACTGTTTAACCTAAACAAATGTATTCAACATTTCGAGAAATAAACAGGCATAATTAGCTAAAATGTAAATTAAGTAATTATGTTTTATTGCATACTTGTACTGGAACAAATAACTTTGAATTTTGTTCAACCCCGGCATCAACTAAAACCAATTCTTCACTAATTTTAGCAAAAATCTAACAATTTTGTTTTCTCACTATTTTGCGGACACAAATCCCTTGAAGGCATCCCCCAAGAAACATGGATATCTAGTCAGAAGCGCTCTGGCCATTTAATTAATAAATTAGCAGTATGAATGTAACATTGGTCTTTTTCTCTCTGTAAAAAATGGACTTTACCTGCAGGGCATCGTAGTAGAGCTTCTTTCCCTCCTCGTCACTTTTGTCTGACATGAGCCAGGCCTTCAGCAGGTACTCGTAGAAACTGTCCCCCAAGCCTCCAACTGAGACGTGATCTGCAATACAGTGAAAATGCCAGAAAGTGTGTGAAAAATCCCTTCCTACAGTCATCAATAGTCTGCTGAGGGACTGCATTAAATAGAGTTGCACAAAATGATTAGACATAAATATGTGTACACACAGAAACTTTCACACAGTATGAGAGAGCAAGAGAAGCGCTCTCATCTGAGTAAGTTTGTATGGTAAACCATGTCTGGAATTAAATATCAAGATAAAGAGAGCCATGACAAATACATGCATATACATAAACAACAAACCAGAATGAATAAAAGGTTACAAACAACAAATGATCTTCATATAGAAAATAAAATTAATATTTTTCTACTGTGATAAATTCTTTCTAAAAGGTATTTATGATAATTATAATATACTGTTTGATTAAATTTATGATATTTGGAATAGTTATACATTTCCAGTACTTAGCAGTACTTTGTTTAGGATTATATATATATATATATATATATATATATATATATATATATTGAATATTAAAAGTATTTGACAGAAAATATTGTCGTCAAATATTGAGTCTTGTATTTTTTTTTATTTGCTTTATTCTCGTTTTCTGCAGTGTTTAGCAAAAGTATTAACTTATTTTTCTGCTCACTGTGTTTTTGCTACTGTAGTTAAAATAACTACATTATCTGCGGCTCTTCATGTGGAGCTTTAGCACGAAAGAGATGCAACTTGCATGGAATGGAAAGGGCTTTAATGAAGAGCGTTTTGCTCTAGATATCATTGTGAGACTATATAGCGCCAAAAAGATCATTATCATAAACAACCCTGAGGGTTTGTAGTGTGAACCGCTCAATTGTTTTGATGGTGCTATACCGGATCATTAAGTCTCGTGGTCCAGTTGGAACCAAGCCAGGGTCCAGAATCGGACCACAGTCTGCTATTTGAGGACCCCTGACCTAGAACACCCTAGCAACCATTTAGAAAAGCCTAGCAACCACTTAGAACACCCTAGCAACCATTTAGAAAAGCCTAGCAACCACTTAGAACACCCTAGCAACCATTTATAAAAGCCTAGCAACCACTTAGAACACCTTAGCAACCATTTATAAAAGCCTAGCAACCACTTAGAACACCCTAGAAACCATGTAGAAAAGCCTAGCGACCACCTAGAACACTGTAATTGTTAATGGGATTCATTCACACAAAAGTTTCTCAATTCATTTCAAGTCATGTTTTCTTTTTAATTATTATGAAGCAATGCATCACTATGCAAATACTGTCATCACTGAGTGGCCCAAAGTGACAGACCATTTACAGCATACGCAAATGTGTGAATTCCATTTAGTAGCCAAATTTTTTTTATAAAAACATACCATTCAAGCAAAACGGACTGATGCATCCAATTAGCAGGAGATAGGGCTATTAATGCTTTTACAGATGATTTGTAGTCAAATTTTCTTGAATATTAAATATTGATTTGTGAAGGTTTAAGACATTTGGAAATGGGACATTAGCATACATTTATGGAATTGCATAATCTTTAGAATTATTGATTCATTTGAATAAAATGAATATATAATAGGCTAACTGAAACATATCTACATTATTTTTGGGAAATGAAAAGGGTCTGACCAACACTTCTGATGTAAATTAAAATGGATATAAATATGAGGCTGATGCAGCACATGTAGCTGTAATTGTTGGTTATTGCACATTTTAAAACCATAAGTATCGGCTATTAGCGGGTCATTTTTATTCACTGGCCCCTGATGCACATTTTGGCCCATGAGCTGCATAATTTGAATATCCCTGAGGAAGATTCACATAAACCTAATTCGGAAATTTAGCTGAGTGCAAGTGCCATAAAAACCCCTTCTGAAATAAGACTTCAAACTAAAGCAAAATGCTTGTTTTTCCCTTCATGTGCATTCCTCAGCAGTGTGTTTTTTTTTACGTCAGTCTGCGCTGTGGCTCCATTTTTCTCTTGACGTATCTATCACACAAATAAGTGCTTAATGAGATATAAATATTCATGAGCTTGATCATCAATCAGACAATCACACAACAGTGCTGCTCCTCGAACCACAGACTCTCATCTCTCACACACAGTGGACTGGACAGCACTGAACAGACTGCCTCACTCACCCTGCCACCTGGTCACACACACACAAATTTATTTCCTCCTTACGCACACAGACCTGACTTATCTAGGATTCCGCTTGATAGAAAAGCATACACTGCGGAATAAATGAATGCTTATAGAGAATCTTATTAGTTAAAGATCTGGGCTTAAAACTCAAAATTGGTAGGGCCAATTATAAATTGAAAAGGTACTAAAATTTCATTTAAATCATTTGTGCCCACTTTCAAGGCATTTGCTAAACAACATTTTTACACCTTCAGCAGAGAAAGTGAATGACTGATTTGGAAAGTGTGGGGTCAGTAAGTTTTTTTTATGTTTCTGAAAGAAGTCTGAAAAGATAACAAAACAACAACAACAACAACAAAAAAACAGCAAAAAACATAACATTTGGAAATATTATTACAATTGAAATGACTTTTAAAGGAGTAGTTCACTTTTTAAAAAAACTTTTGCTGATAAATTACTCACCCCCATGTCATCCAAGATGTCCATGTCATTCTTTCTTCAGTCGAAAAGAAATTAAGGTTTCTCAAATGGTCGCCTTGCTCTGTTCTGCGATGCACGTTCGTGACTCTCCTGTTCGAACTCGTTTATCAAAATGAACGAATTTTTTCCGAGTCAACTCGTTCATTTCGTTTGTTGAATGAACCGAATGACAGATTCGTTCATTTTGATAAACGAGTTCCAACTGGAGAGTCACGAACGAGCATCACAGAACAGAGCAAGTCGACCATTTGAGCTTATAAAACAAACTTTGTTTTTTTTTTTTTTTATTAAATGAGCGATCGTTTTTGCTTGATAAGACCCTTATTCATCGTCTGGAATGATTTAAAGCCCTTTGAACAGTTTGCACTGAAACTGTCTTTTGGACCTTGAAACGTTTGGTTCCCATTGAAGTCCATTATATGGAGAAAATCCTGGAATGTTTTCATCAAAAACCTTCATTTCTTTTCGACTGAAGCAAGAATGACATGGGCAACTTGAATGACATGGGGGAGAGTAAATTATCAGCAAAAGTTTTTTTTAAAAGTGAACTATTCCTACAATATATTTTTAAATGTATGGCGTTTTGTGATGGTAAAGCTGAATTTTCAGCATCATTGTTATATGTAAGCAATAACGTACGAGAGGCTGTGCTGTATCGTGAATAAGTAACGGCTGAAGGGCGTTGTTAGGCACGACTCGAAGCGACTCGACTACAGCACTTACCTCGAGTACCTTATTGCTTTTATAAAATGGTTACCACACAATCAAAATATTAAAGTAAAAAGAAAAAAGAATTAGTGCAACTTTCTAACTTTCCGCTAGAAACAAAATAATCCCTGACCGTGAACAGCAACAACGTTCCAATGTGTAATATGCATGAAAGCTCAACTAAAAAACAACACAGGAACTGCAGTGTTGCGCAGTGATAAATAACTGAAGGGTGAAGCGGTCATAGCCTGTTTTATCGTGAATACAGCACAGCTATTGACCAATCAGAATCAAGAATAGGAACTAACCCTTTTATAATTTTATTTATTTAATGCATAGAATAAAAGTATTCATTACAATATAAAAAATGTATATTATTTGTCTGAGTGTAGACAAGAGCCGTGTCTCTCGAAGTGCTTCATTTATTTAAATGGGGGAGGTTGTTTCCTTCTCTTGCAGTGCAGGCACAGAAGCAGGTATTGAATTCTCTAAAGAAAGTCTTTAAAAGATTTTAGCAGGAGGTCATTGATACTCGTGGCAGACTGGATTTGCCCGCGGGCCCGATTTTGAACAGCTCTGCGCTACCTGATTTAACTTCTTAGTCACAGAAGATGGCTTTTCCCCTCAGTTGTAATATTAGTTCACACACAGATCTCAGAAACTCCAAACTCTCCTGCGCTGTTGGTAAGAGGGTTTGGTTGTGAAAAGGAGATGTGAGGTCTTCTGTTGGTAAAAGCTTGACAGCTGGAAAAGGGGGGTTTTATGTCAGCTCTTGACGTGATTCCTGAGCAAAACCTGAAGACCAGCTGAGCTTATTACCCAATAGACACTGAGAATGTGTGAAGTGTCTCTATACAGCACTGGAGCACACAGAGCAGCCCTGAAACAGACCATTTACAATACACACGTTTTGATCTTAGCCACAACCCTGACTGAAAGCAAAATGTGAATCGACAAAATCACAAAATGCATTTTGTGTTTCAAAGCATGACATGAGGGTGAATGAACGATTGTAATTAGCCTGTGCAATTTTTTTAGTTCACCAAAAATATGAAAATTCGGCCAATATTTTCTTCCAAACCGCAATGACTTTTACTTCTGTGGAACTCAAAACAAATGGAAGGATGTCAATGTGATTCAAAACACTGAATACCACTGACTTTCATTGTATGGATTTCACACATACGCACGCACACACGGAAGTTGTAGTTCGTTCGTTTCGTTCGTTGAATGAACCAAATGACTTGGAAAAAGATTTGTTCATTTTGATGAACGAGTTCAAAAAGGAGAGTCACAAACGTGCGTCACAGAACAGAGCAAGGCGAGCATTTGAGCTTATAAAACTTAAACTTTGTTATTTATTTATTAAATGATCAATCGTTTCGCTTGATAAGACCCTTATTCATCGTCTGGAATCGTTTAAAGCCCTTTGAACAGTTTGCAGTTTGTACTGAAACTGTCTTTTGGACCTTGAACCGTTTGGTTCCCATTGAAGTCCATTATATGGAGAAAAATCCTGGAATGTTTTCATCAAAAACCTTAATTTCTTTTCGACTGAAGAAAGAATGTCATGGACATCTTGGATGACATGGGGGTGAGTACATTTTCAGCAAAAGTTTTTTTTTTTTTAAAGTGAACTGTTCCTTTAAGTTGTGTATTATATTTAGCATGTTTCCCATTTGTGAGTTGATTTTATTGTATGTAATGTGATTTGGTACTTTCCTGCCAAGGGATTGAAGATCAAATTTAGCACTATAGCTAATTCTGGGACAGTTCTTTCCTGTCCATTGTCCCTGATAGATTAAAAAAATAAAAAAATGATGGATGGTGGACTATATGAATGGTTGTTTCATGTTGTTTCATTACGGTCAACCCCGGAGCTACTAGCTGCTCAAACCCAAGCATGACAACTGACCCATATGGAAAGCCCTTCAGGACTGTTCTGGGCTACTTGTGTGAAATAAAAAGACTGACAGCTATTTTTAAAACGTAGCTGTACGTTATCATCCCATCTTCCCTGCGGCCTGCTGCCATCTCAGATCATTTTTGTTTACGATCATCTAACAAATGACTTTTGTCAAAGCGAAAAAAAGAAGGACTTGTTCTGATGCACAAAAAAGAAATGTTGTTTCGGATTGCTACATTCTGACAGCTCAAAAGCCTATCCCTTTTTTTTCCCGCTCAGCGGCGACATTCCTCGATCAGAATTTGTGCTCCTGTGTTATCCGACTACACACACTGCAGTATCTTTGTTCTCCTTCGACTCTTCATCATCAAGCGCCTGCGTCATCGCTGACCATGAAGTTGAGACAGCACTGCTCTCCAGACTAAGCCTCCAATAAATCCTTCAGAGCGAGGACGGCACGAAAGCCGCCTAACTCCGCAGAGCAGGCCTCACTGAAGCCATCGTTCCGGTCGCCTCGAGACCAGCATAAAACAGCCCAAACTATTGATGTATGTGTCATCTAGAAGATGAACGCAAGGAGAAGAGTGTGTATATTTATGTCTGTGTTGCATAATTAACCCTGAAACACGATGAAGATGAGATGTGGTGAGAGTCGTGCCACTTCTCCACAGTTTCAGGGTTGCCAGCCTCAGCCTCAAACGGCATTGAAACGTCTGATCCAGATTACACCCAAAAATGTCAAAAGCGGCCTGAAATCGACAGTTCCAAAAAGTAATGCAAATCAGTCTGCTGGCAAGCAAAGTCATGTTTAAAAGTTCCCAGGCTGCTACAAGAACAACTTGTCACTGGTTTTGCCAAAGTTTGAGCGGTTCATGGTTTCAAAGTTTTGAAAGGAATTCACGAGTTCCAGTTGAGAAACTCAGTAGCTAGAAAATAATATCCTGCTCTGCCCTCAGGGATTTTGTCACCAGATTTACACGACCTATGTCAAACACAAACTGTGGTGTACTGCAGGTCATTTTTGTCCATAGAGGAAGAAGTGGCCAAAATAACCTGCAATCTGGAATGGACTTTATGCAGATAATCTAAATTCTGGCAAAAAGCAGACAGCAGGAATTAGCTGTATGATGTAAACAAATGAAAAAATATAAATAATACATTAAATTATCTAAAATTGCATATTCTAAAATAGCCAAATAATCTAAAAAATAAATGTATACAGTATATGTATATAAGATATATATATATATATATATGAAACCGATTTTTAAAAATAATTCAGATTAAGCATTTTAAATAGACTGCAGCAATTAACATTGTTATTTTGTTTAGTTGGCTGTTCAGAATCGTAGGAAAATTGTGATCTCTATTTGATTTTTTTTTTTTTTTTGTGATTCTCAATTTATCCAGAATTGTGCAGCTATATGTACTCAAAACTCTATCTATCTAAGGGTGGGCGATATGACCAAAAACTTATGTCAAGGATCAATAGAACAAAGATACAAATGAAATAGACCTACCTGAAATCTGCAAGCACTTGATAGGCCTATTGTAATAGGCTACTACATAAATTCTATAAAGTAATCAAACGTACAAAAACACTGTCAATGTAAATTAAACACTTATTCTCATGAAAGTTATAATAACAAAGTCTTTATAATACCAAAGTCAAATGTTATTGAGTCAAGAACAAAAGGATTGTTAATGATGAATGCACTGATCTAATATACTGATACGCATAATTTATTTCTGTTTACATTCACTTATGACATAAACGACTGTGTTTATCACAAGGGCATTTTGAAAGTGTGTGTTTGACCGTTTAAGCCCATAAGGTGTTAAAAAATTACTTGGTTCCATACTCATGCGCTCTATGAGCAGCGGCTTTATGTGCGTTTTGCAGATGTGTTTGCTTAGAGGGTGCACATACACCAAAATTAGTTCGCCTTCACTGCTTATTGTGCTTGAACGGTTTAAAATCACTTGTTTTTAATCCACAAGGCTTAAAGGAGACATATTATGCCCCTTGTGACGACCTGTCTTTAACGGGGTTTTACCTCTTTTTCCCTTTTAATTCTAGCCTGCTCAGACCTCTGTTTGATCTTCTCATGTTCCATTTGTAACAACAATAACTCTTTTTGTTGGTCAAAAGATAAAGCACTCTGTACAGTCAAACTTTGCGAGAGGTCCCGGGTTCAGATCCCGGACGAGCCCCCATTTGGCGGCAATATTGTAATAAGATCACCTTTTTTAAATCAGAATGGGAGCGAAATCTGATCAGCTTATTTTTTTACATGCTTGCAGAGAAAGACATACAAAAACAAAGGTACTGGGTTGTCAATTTTAATGTTTTCAGGGTCAGTAGATGCATCGGGGAACAAATTATAGCACTTAAACATGGAAAAAAGTCCGATTTTCATATGTTACCTTTAAAAACTGATGTGGCAAGCCGTGAAGCACATCAACTGAGTCATCACATCCCAAAGTTCAGTCTCTGTCAATCCACTACAAATATTGCCTTGAATCTGCCTTTGAGTGTCACCATGAGAGTATTTAGTGAACAAATCAGCACTCCATCTCAAAGAGAAACACTTCCAATTGCCGCTCATTTTAAATCAAGACATTTCTGGGAAACCTGGCAACTTCTTGGACATACAGTATTACATTTCAGCTAATACTTCTGAAGTTCTCCAGTATGTGTGTGTGTGCGTTTTTGGACTTACGCTGGCCCCACTGTCCACTGTTAGGGTTCAGGTAATTCGGGTACAATCCTTGAGGTTTGTCCAGCCGATTCAGCACCTTTCTGATGTTCATTACCTGCAATGCCAGAGCACATATCGCTTATATCACCACATCCAATTATTAAGTCATAGCTAAGCTCATCCACCATAGTAAGCCACTGAAAACCATAAACAGCCTCTGTGATGCAACCGATGTCTTTCGAGGGGACAGACTCATAAATCTACAGACTAGGTCACTTTCACAGTTTGTACAGCCTCATTCAGAGCTTGTAATAGTGTCATTTGTCTGTGTCTATATCGCAAGTCAGGTCAGCGGATTCATTTGGTGAGAAATCAGATCTGAGAATTGCAGCGAAACGAGCATCAATAAAACGGTTATCAGCAGAGGTCAATCTGGGTCACTGTGGTCAGTTCTTCTAACAGTTCATGACCCCTACAAGTTTATATTTATTTCAGCATAGCAGTTAATGCACTGCAGAGGTGTAAAGCCTGATCTGCTGCTCACCTTCTCTGCAAAAACGGGTCTCCCGGAGAGTGCACTGAGGTGCATGAACTCCAAATGCAGCGTCCCGTATTCTGCGAGAATGCTGCTTCCTCCTGACGCCCATGGCCAGTTTCTGCCGATCCCACTGCAGGAAGAGGAATGAAGAGAGATTAGGCTTATTTGTGTGACTGAGCAATCTTGAGCTGTGTACACATTTTGTGCTCTGAAAACTTTCAACCAGTCAAAATTGGCCACTTTTCTTGAACCGAAAAACATGAGGCAGCATTGAGTATAACAAAACAAAACAGGCAACACTTGATTTTACAGTGTCCTTGTTACATATGTTACATGTACATATAGTAATCAGTAAATTATGCATAATTACATGCAACTAACCCTCAACCAAATCCTAATCCTACCCTAACCCTATAGTAAGTACATGTAGTTAATTAATATTACTCTGTAACAGACACCTTAAAACAAAGTGTAACCAAAATAACAAAAAAAACATGTATATGAGTGAGAAATACAGCATGACTTAATATTAACATTTACATACATAGTCATTTAGCAGATGCTTTTATCCAAAGCGACTTACAACTGAGGATTAAACCAAGCGAGTCATCGTGAAGAGGCAAAAACAACACAAGAAGTGCTCAAAATACAAAGTTCAGACATTTCTGGGAGTAGCAAAAGCCAGATAAGCAAGGATTTAAAGGAAAATTATTTATTTATTTTTTTATGTTAAGTGCTCACATCAAACCATCAAAACAGAATTTCTGTTGATTCAGAAGCATAAATCCATGCATTTATTTTTAGCCTTCGATATGTAAAAAGAAAAAAGAAATTAATACTTTAAATTAGCAAAGATGCATTAAATTAAAACGCGATAGTAAAGATAATTAAAGTTATAAACAATTTCTGTTTCAAATACATACTGTTCTTTTGAATTTTCCATTCATCAAATAATCTTGAACAAATATGTTTGCAAAAAAATATTGAGCAGCACAACAAATTCAAATATTGATAATAATGAGAAAAGTTTCTTGAGGAGCAAATTGGTATATTTAAATTATTTGTGAAGGATCATTTGACACTGCACCCTGGAGTAATGATGCGGAATATTAAGCTTTGCCATCACAGGAAATTACGTTGTAAAAAACAAACAAACAAACAGATAATAATAATATTGCTTAATATGATTGCTTTCATATTAAATGCAGCCTTGGTGAGCAAAAGAGACTTTCAAAAACATGTAAATGTGAATATATATTGTGTACTTTTCACACACACACAGTATATACTGTATGGATTAATTATATTTTTTAATATACAACAGTTATAAATAATGAAATAATTATTTCAAGACAATTACGATTTGCTTATCCATAGTTTACCTAGTTTTATCTTCCTGCTTTTTATTTACCATGTCACTGAATTGATAATTAATTTCAACTAGAGTTTATTCAAACATAATTAATCACACCACATCTGACAGTTGCCAAGTTGATTTCATAGCCTTATTTTGCAGAGGGGCCACGTTCTCCTCCAGTGATTAGATCCATCTTTATTGATTTTCACTGGCACGGTTCCATCTAAACCCTGACAACTTAACTCCGGCCTGGAAAAGGAAGCCACCAGTACGCCACGTCTCCTGACCCGCGTTTACTATCCGCTCTGCACAGGACTCTGTCTCTACACCAATTATAAAGATAAACGACTGCTGAGTAATGACTTGTAATCACAGCTTTAAAAGGACGACACTCTCCACTTTATTTTTAAAACCTAATTCAACAAAACAGACCGTGTAAGATATTTATATCATTAAGTCAATAAATTACCCACAATAGCTCAGGCCAGGAGGAACTGAGTACTGCTAAAGTACTCTTAACAGTTTAATTTGGACAATGGTTTTATGCTAATGTTTTTCAGTGTGTGATGCAATTTGATAGCAAGGAATTTATAGGCACATCTGTATAATCAATTAACAACCGTTTTGAATAAAGAGGATATTTTATAGCCTGTGACAGCAAATTCTTAACAAAAAATGAGGTAATGGCCTCAAATACAGTGCTGCTCAGAATTATTTGCCCCCTTGGTAAATGTGATCAAAGATGGCTGTAAAAATAAATCTGCATTGCCTATTGCATACATACATACATACATACATACATGTATATATATATGAAGAGTTCAGATGCAAAAGCCTCTAAATGCCATTTGAAATTTTCTTCTAAAATGACCATTTTTATCAAGCTTGTATATTTAAGTTCAGTAATTTCACTTAAATGACAATTAATAGGTAATCTTCATTGCCATTTAAGTGAAATTACTGAACTTAAATATATAAGCTTGATAAAAATCATAATTTTAGAAGAAAATTTCAAATGGCACTTAGAGGCTTTTGCATCTGAACTCTTCATATATATATATATATATATATATATATATATATATATATGGCTCATCAGGTATTGTAGGAGAAGACTCAGAGCTGTGATTTTGGAAAAAGGAGGTTGCAAAAAGAATTTAATAAAAGCAGGCAAATAATTATTCCCAACGTGTTTTGGAGAAAAAACATTTTTCATAATTTGATTTTCCCCACTTTCAATTCTTTTACTTTAAAATTAGATGAAAAATTAATAAATAAATAAATAAAGTATCAAAACGATTAACAATGTAAATCTTTGATCATATTTACCAAGGGAGGCAAATAATCCTGACCAGCACTGTATCAGGGACTAGCAGGAAATGCGTGCAAACACCTCTGGAGTGTTGCTCCCAATGTCATCATTTTTTACACAACGCTGATCTGCCTCTGGCACTATAGACCTCTGCATGTTACACACGCTGCAAGGCTCTACAGTGCAGGTATTTGTGCGAGGAAATTGCTGTGTGCTAATCTGAAAATGCATTCAGTGACATCTGACACCTGAGCAAAACTTGTTAACATATAATACTATCACCATCACTCAAATTACAATGTGATCGGCTGCTTCTCAAAGTCAACAAAAGAAAGAAATCCCACATGTTTGCAACCGTTTAAGGATGTTTTTCAGTGTCTGGACTTAAATTACAGCATATACTCTACCGTTCAAAGTCTGGGGTCAGTAGGATTTTTTGAAATATTTTTGAAAGAAGTGTCTTATGCTCTACAAGGCTGCATTTATTTGATAAAATACAATACAAACTGTAATATTGTGAAATATTTGAAAATAAAATTGTACAAAATATTGTAAAATATGCAAAGTTGTGATTCAGGTTGTGTCCCGTGTTCGAGTTTCAGTCACGTGGACCTTTCCCGATCCCAACCCACTCTCAATATCCAACTTCGCTTCCATCAACTGACTGTTGGAAAATAAAAATTATAAAAGCAACAAAATAGCACCCAATAGGTGAGTAAAGTATTTTACTGAACAGATAAATTGCCATAAGTAGCTCTAACAGAGTTCATTGTAAAGCATTATCTATTGTGAAGGGTCATTATTCATCTGTTACGCAAAACGCATGCAGTTTTGTTTTTAACCGCTAGATGGCCAAAAGTTGCATAGTGTAACTTTAAGACCAGTGCTGGGGACTATAAACATATCGGTAACACTTTACTTGAAGGGGTGTGCATAAGACTGACATGACACCTTCATAACCATGACATGACATATGCCTTGAATATTATGCATGTTTATGACAACTGTCATTAAGTGTCTTTCGCTCAATGCAAATATGACATTGTGTAAGATGTATTTGTTATGACATCTTGACATAAACCATAAAATCATAACCTGTCAGTGTCTTTGTCATGACAACTTGACATAAAGTTAAGTTAAACTGTCATGTGGTTGGCTTTGACATTGGCTGTCAACTACAGTGGTACTAATTGAACTTGTCATTATAAAGTTATAATGGCTTCATGGCAGCCAATGTCAAAACCAACCACCTGACAGTTTAATGTAATGTTAAGTAAAGTGTTACCTCAGAAGGGTTACAGTACTACAAATTTCATATATTTCGTTTTTCAGTGCCCGATTGTGCTTATGTTGTTGTGTCACACATTAGTTTTGCAGTCTTAAAAACAAACGCAGACAGTACCCATAAGGCCAAGAGCGCTCCTAGCAAATGTTAATGTAGAGCCCTGAGCAGTGCCAAACCAATTTGTTTTTCATTACACAGATGATTAAAGCATGTAACAGAAATTTAGGAAAATTAAGGGAAAAGTGATGCAAGGCATACAACAAACAGAACATACAGGCTCCTTAATGAAATTTCCAAATACAGACTTAGCTGCTCCTCTCTTGATATTCCACATGTATGGAGGCAGAATATAGACCAGTGGTTCTCAACTGGTTTGGCTATGGGACACACATTTTCCCATTATCATCAAGCTGTGACCCATTTTTTTGGGGAATTTAAACCAAGCATTTCTCAAAAAAAGAACTGTTCTGCTTTACTTCACATACACCTAAATTTAGGGATGCACGATATATCGGCCAGCATATCCGTATCGGCCGATATATGTTCATTTATAATGTTATTGTTATCGGCCTGGAAAGAAAATTTGGCCGATATATTAAAGCCGATAAATAATGTATTATTCCCTTCAGCTGATGGCCACTTGAGAAGACACTTGTTGAGAACTGTTTATGTTTTTGAATTTCTTGAAATATGATTGAAACCTCTTCAAAAAATGAAAATATGGTTCGGGACAACATGTGCAACGCAAATCTGTCATATCGGCTATACAACACTATAATGAGAACATCATTATTATTGTGTGCTTGGGACATGGATTTAATTGCGAGACTTTTGTTTTTGTAATCAGGCTCTCAAAATTAGATAAAAATGTGGATTTAAGTTTATCGGCCGATATATCGGTTATCGGCTTTCAAATATAAAGAATTACCGGTTCTCGGTATCGGCGCACCCCTACCTAAATTGTAAGAATACCACTAACAGTGATGAATAAACAGTATAAGGTAAGGCTATTAAATAGTTGTTGTTTTTTTGTTGACTACACACTGCGTGACCCAGTCAAAATGGTCTAGCGACCCACAGGTTGAGAAACACTGATATAGATGATTACTTTATACAAAGTTAAACGGCCCAAGATGGTATTTAACACTAGAGATGCACCGGTCAACCGGTCATAAA